CTGGCCAGTCTGTGCTGCAGAGCCAGCTGGTCCAGCTTCCCTGTCAGTGCTGGACGTGGGAAGGGTCTCCCCTCGCTCTGAGCAATCCCACACTTGTGCAGCACCCCAGGTACTGCTGCCCCTCGGGTGTTTCCCAGCTCCCTTTTACATCCCTGCCTCGCTGGTGGCCTGGCTGGCCCAGCGTGTGTGTCAGTGGCCCTTCTGGGCTCCCTGGGACTGAGGACTGAGCTGCCTCTGGGGGGTTCTTGCTGTCACCTGCAGCCACCCTGCTCCACTAACACTGCTGTGTGCCAAGTCTCCTGCTCTGCTGGTGGCAGCGGAAGCCGGGATTGAAACAAGGCATCAACCTTTCCCTGTCCCCTCCCAACCTCAGCTCATGTCCCTGTCCCACCTGAGGTGCAGGCAGGCAGGGTGACTGCTGGGTCTTGCCCTCTGCCATCCCATTAGGGCTGATGGAGATCCTGCCTGACAACTGTGTCCAGGTGGGCAAGAAGGAGCTGATGTACACGGGCACCGTGGGGCTCATCATCTACCTCGGCGGCGTCATCTTCATCAACAGGAAGAGCACCAGCAGCGCCAAGATGGTGATGGCTGAGGTTGCCAAGACCATGGCAAATGAGAACGTGAGTGTGGCCGTGGGGCTCGGTGGGGTGGCCTGTGTCTGGGCACCCCGGGGTGGCACGGGGGCATGTGGAACTCCTGGTGCTGGCTGACCTGGAGTCACAGCCACCTGCAGCTCTTGGCAGAGCTGGCTGGCAGCTCGGGGCACTGCAGGTGGATTGCTGGAGTTAAGCCTTGTCTCTCCCATGTGCAGCTGAAGGTGTGGGTGTACCCAGAGGGCACAAGGAACTGCACTGGGGATTTGCTGCCATTCAAGAAAGGAGCATTTCACCTCGCTGTCCAGGCACAGGTAACAGTGCTCTGCCCCTGCACAGGCACCCTGAGTGCTTTTGCAGTGGCATTCCAGGCTGGTCATGCAGTGTGTGGTTTATTTGCTCTCAGGTTCCCAGGTAACACCTCCCCAGGTAAACCACTGTTAGGTGTCAGAAGTGCTGCCCAGAAAGAGCCAAGAGCCTTTTCCATCCCCTGTGGGAGTGACCTGACCCTGGGGACAGGTGGCTGCAGGCAGTGGAGAGCTGCCTTTTCCTCCCTCCTGCCTGCCCCAGTCCCAGTGTTCCATCTGCAGGGCAGGCACACTTGACCCTCACTCCAGGCTTTCCTGGCAGTGCCTGTGCCCAGGGGCTCCTGGGGGCATGGCTGCAGCCCAGAGCTCCTTCTGGGAAGGGAGCTCAGTGGGTGCTTTCCTGGGGAATCCCAAAGCTGTCGATGCATTTCTCAATCCCCCAGGTTGCAATAGGGCAGAGTTGATTCAGGATTCTTAATGCTCATGCTTTATAGCAACATCTGGGCTTGCTCTGTGTGGAAATAGCTGCTCCCTCCCTGATGGCCATATGGCACTTCTTGGTATGTCTTTTTTCCCCAAAGTGGCAACATCCATGAGCAGTCAGTGGGGGAGCAGGCAAACAGCTCCTTGGCTTCAATCAACCAGAGCTGTCCATGCTCTCAGAGGGGGCTGCTTGCCTGGGCAGGGCACTGGGGCAGTGTGCCAGGGACTGGGACGATTCGAGGCCTCAGGGGAAATTGGTTTCCCTAGGAGAGATGTTACAGCAGGGATTCTGGAGAAGGCAGTAGGTGCCAGATCTCTTGCTGAGATCAACTAGCTAAACCCAGGGTGCAGCCTGTGTTGTACCATCCCCATTCCTGCCTGGGTGACGCAGCCAAGGCAGGGCCTGGCAGCTGCTGGAAGGGAAGGATGTCAGTGGAACTGGTACCCGCCTCTGCTACACCCCCCTGAGTCACCTACTGTAGATCCTGTCTGTGTTATCAGCATGGAATAACGACTCTGTGCCTGCCCTCCTGGCCCTGGCTCTGCCTGAAGCTTCCCTGGGAGCAATTGATGGCAACTAGTGACTCCTTTTCTTAGAAGCTGAAGGCACAGCAACTGCCCTGCCCCAGACACGTGCTGGTACAGCAGGCAGGGCCTGGCAGAACAGGCATCCTGCAGTGTTTGTTTGCAGGACAGACAATACCCAAGCTTTGAAGCCTGGCTTGGGATGAGGAACCCTAAAAGCCAGTGCTGACCTGAGGCTGAAGTGGGACTTCTAGTTCTTTGAGTATCCCTGTGCCTTGAGTTGCTGGGGAGTGGTTTTGATCCTGTTTGACTCCTAATTGTCCCAGCCTTTGGAAGTGAGTCTTGCTGTGTGTGCCCTGTGTGTCTGAGAGCCAGGCCAGGTCAGCTCTGCTGTGTGGGATTTGCTGCCTGTCTCTGGCCAGCCCTGAGTTGCTGCAGTGCAAGTAACTCCTGTTTTTCTTTCCTTCCCCAAGGTCCCCGTGATCCCTGTGGTGTATTCCTCCTTCACCACCTTCTACAACCCAAAGACGAAACTGTTTACATCAGGTACCAAAGAGTCACTTGGAGACAGTGTTGATGTTGTCTCCTGTGGAGATCTGGTTCACAAGGGTGTGGGAGGGAAGCAGAGCTGGGGTGAACAGGAGGAGTCCCACTGGGAGATGTTTGGACTCAGTTCAAAGCACTTGGCACCAGAGCCTGGGCTGGGTTAGTTCAGGAAAGGCTGTAATTAAATAGACTGAGGGATGTTTTCATTAAAGATTGGATACCACCTCTCCTTTTCTGGGCAGGCTCTGGCTGGGGTGGCAATTTGGGGCACAAGGGGAATATTCTACTTGGCACAGCTCTTGGTCTAACCACAGATCAGCCTCTGCCTGCACTCCAGGGATGGATGCCTGAAGCCCTGAGACGGGATGAGGGCTATGCTGGGACTGCCCAGGGCAGGGAGCAGAGCAGGGAACAGAGCTCCTGTGGCATGTGGGTTTCTCACGGGCTCCTCTCTTGTTCCCAGGCAAAATCAAGGTGGAGGTTCTGCCCCCAATAGAGACCAAAGGCCTGACATCAGACGATGTCACCGACCTCACTGACAGATGCTTCTGCACCATGAGGGAGACCCTCTTCAGGATGTCAGGCCGTCCAAGCGAGGCCAAGGACTCGTCCTAGAGGCTTTTCCAGTGATGTCACCGTGTGGTGGTGGCTGAAGGGACTTGTTTGTTGTTGCCAAATACTGAAGGAACTTCTCTTCCTCTGCAGTGACTTCTAACTCTGGGAACACCGTGGACTGGCACACACAGGGTGTCAAGCCAGCACTGAGGTTTCCCTTCGAGCGGATTTGTCTTATGGGTTCATTTTCTCACTATGAAACGTCTCCTTTTTCTGAATTTCTCAGGCATCAAACTTGTGCTACCAAAGGGCTCAATGACCAGAGGGGTGAGTTCCGCCAGCTCAGGCAGCTGGCATGGGGTGACAGCAAAAACCTGGCTGGAGCCTGGGCTCTGCCTCACGTGAGTGTCCCTGCACGTGTGCTCCTGCAGGCTCAGCCCTGTGATGTCCCAGATGGAAACCACCAGGCAGCAGTTTGTATCTGCACAACCTTGATGCTCAGAGAGGGCCGAGAATTGGGTGAAAATGCAGATTTGGCTTTTCAGCAGTGCTGGGAACGCAGTGTCCCCCCCGGACAGCCCAGAGCACTGCCACCCGGCACAGCGGGACTCGCGGGCCTGTCCCCTTGAGATGCCAACCGCATCTTGTTTTGGGAAACTGCTGGCAGCTCCCTGCCGCGGTGGTGGCTCAGCCTGGCCACAATCTCGGTGCCTGCAGTGCCCCCTTACAGATGCAAAGGGCTTTGTCGGGCTCGTTTTGTCACTTGTCATGGTCAGCACCGGCCGAAAGATGGTGCCTGTCCCGCGTATCTCTGCCGCTCTCCGAGGATTGTAAAACCCCCTCGGAGCCACAGGGTGGGTGAGCTGCAGCTGGAACGGGGCTTGGGAGGCTTCACCTCTCCCTTTTGGGGACATGAATTCCTTTCCCGGTCAGATAAAAGGGGTTCCCCTGTGCTTTGGGGTGATGGATGGACCAACAGAGCTCCTGGATCCCTCACTGGGAGCTGTGGAAGTGTTGATGCCCTCGAAGGCTGGGTCAGGTCCGCGGTTCCTTTACCTTTAGCTCTGCTGTTCATGGCACAGGGGACCTTTGGATGAGCCACCTGGGGCTACTCAGGTAACCAACACGACCAGCTTTTGCAGCCTGTGTTAGTGGAATCGCAGTTATATGGTATTTTGGGGTTAAAGCCTCAACTGGGAAAGGCAGGGAATTCCGTGGAGGGAGCCCTTGGGCCGAGCTGGTGCTGGCAGGGGCTTTACTGGAGGGGCCTTATGGTACAGACTCAGGGGTCAGACCCTCTGTGGGATGGGTCGGGGTGGGAGGATGGGAACCAAACCAGCACTTTGTGAGAGTGGCAGATAAAGGGCTGTCATGGAGGGTAAACCCAGAAGGGCCCTGGGAGGGCTCCTGAGGGATGGTAACCATGTCTGACTCCTCCTGGGAGGAGAGAGCAGTGCCTCTGTGTGCAGTCATCTGCTGTTCACTTTTAATTGGGTTGAGGATGTTATGTGCTTTACAAAAAAAAATTACACCTATGATTATTTAAATAAAGGAGCCTCCTGGTCTTGTGTGGGAGCTGAGGGAGGAGAATGTGGGGTGCTGATCCCTCAGCTCTTGCAGGGAGGGGGTTTGGTGATTGAGGGGCAGTGGGGGGGTCCCTGTCCCTCCCTGTGCCCCCTAGGCAGAAGGGCTGTGCTTCTACTCCCCAAACCACAGGGATGGGCACCCTCTCCCTGTACCCAGTGCAGGGACCATGTGCACCTGTCCCCTGCCGTGACATCTTGGGGCTGCAAGGATTGTCCCCACCTTTACCACGTGACAGCAAGTCAGGGCAGTGTGGGGAAGCACTGCCCTGCTCGGGCCAGGCCTGTGCTCTGCAGGGCAGGCAGCACAGCCAGCCGTGTGCCCACTGCTCCCTGGGAGAGCACGCCCTGGCATAATGCTAAGGAAAAGCCAGGCAAAGCTAAACAAACTCAGCTTCACACACAGGCAGTCTGGCACAGCCAGGCACTCGTGGCACGAGGTAAGGCATTTATTTGCTGCCTCTCCAGCAGGAAAGGGGGGAGATGTGGAGGGCTCGGAATCCAGTTTGGAAGTAACTGCGTGACCTTTGATAAGGTGAGCTGGAAGAGAAAATTATGGAGATGCTGATGGGAAACCAGCCTTCTCCTGGTACCCTGTGCCTTCCTGTAGATGATGTGGCTTTGTCCCCAGCCTGGGGCTGGAGAGTGAGATAAGAGCTGCGGATGCACTCGGCTTGTTCCAAGGCCTCGGGTGTTCAGCTAGAGTTCGTTCTTGCAGGAACCTGGGAAGATGGAAAAAAAAGAAACAATTCAGCAACATCCGTAGCCTGGGTTTGGTTTGTCTCTTTCCCAAGCAGGCTGACCTTAAACCTCTGTGAATATCACCTACACTTGCAGCTTTCCCTTTGGCAAACAACCCTAGGCTAGCTCTGTCCCACCACGCTTGGGAGTGTCACTCTCACCTCCCTGGTGTGTCACAGTCCTTGCCTGGCCCCTGTGTGCAGTGTCCCAAAGCCAGTGACAGTAACAGTGACAGTCTGTGCTGGATCAGGGCTAATTCAGACTTAGAGAGGCCAAAGTGGTTATGGCTTCAAGAGCTCTCCTCTGGTGCCTTTGCTGGTGGTGTAAAGAGAAAGTAGTTTTTCTTGGTCCTTACACACACCCCCACTGAGCAGCTAATTGGGGAGTGCAGCTTTATTGTAGCATTCAGTTGTGAAATGCTTCACCAGGCACAGAACGTGGATGGCTGAGTAACTCCATGGGATGCCCTGTGAGCCCCAGGGCTTGCTGGAGTATGACAGGACAGTTTTGTGTCCTCCAGGGACTTACAAGACCATGAAAAGGAACAAAAACAAGTTTTGCTTGCTGGAGCAGGCAAAAATTAATTTCAGCACTTTGGAGTCATCCCTTGGAATAAATCCATGTTACCTTGTGATACTGCTCACATTCCTCAGTGCTGTCACTAATAATATGTACAGAGCACTACTAGGAAACTCAGTCTGCTGGAACACTCCATGGTTCTGATAATTACCCCTTTCTGAGATGCTTTTTAAGTGTCTATTTGCAGCTACTTTGTCTTCAAACAAGTTCTTTGAATTCTTTTCCATCTAAGCCATTACTGAAAGCAGTGAACTGGGACTGGATATGCCTGAACCAGTTTCTCTTGAGTCTCCTGCCATGAGCTCTGGGCTGTTGCTGCACACCAGCTCCTGAGCTGGCCCAGCCATGCCTAGTTTGTGGAATTATTTAATGGGAAAATGAGCTGCAAAGAGCTCTCTATCAAAATAAAGTGTTCACATGGTTGTGCTCTGCTTGGAGTCAAACTGCCACTCTCCAGAGCACCACAGGGCCACGAGGGGATGCTGCCCCTCTCTGTGGTGCCATGGGGGGACATGCCAGGCAGGACCCCCCCACCTCCAGCCACTTCACCCATGGCAACTCTCACTGGGGTCTCTTGCTCAGTTTGCTACTTGGGAGACCCTCTCTGGTGCACTGCTTGGTCTGTAGGCTTCAAAAAGAAATGCCCAAAACTTCCCAGGCTCGTAAATCTGCCAACTTTTGCACGCTCCCTAAATTTCCCTGATTGACTTCTTGGACTGTTAATTTCTTAAGAGCTGGGAGTTCTTTTCTAAGGACCAAATTACAAGGATACAGGAAGGGACTGCAGCCACGAGGTGCTGATTGCCAGACGTGACCCACTGCTCACAGTGGCTCCCTCTGCTCTGCCCCGCAGCCACGTTTCCTTGTGCCAACCTTACAATTTTTGGCTGCTACATGGGCAGTCAGATGGTGCAGCCACAGAAACGGCTTTGAAATGAAGCTAATGGGCTGTTTGTGTTCATCTTTTATTAACTGCAGGCTGCTGAGCTTGAGGGAGATCTAGATTAACAGTGGCAGATGTGTTACTGATTTCGCTGGCCCGCATCTGCTCACCGTGGCCAGTGTGGGTGGAGGGAAATCCTTCAGCCCTGATTTTCCAGGCACTTACACGTTTCCAGCCGCTCCTCGAGGAAAGAGATCTGCTCGCTCAGGGAGTCAATTCTGTCCAGTTGCTGGAGGGAGTGGGACAGTCGGCTGATGGGGTCTGTGCCGACATCCTCCGGCGCTGATGGCATGAGGTTGTGGAAAGGGGCCAGCACCAGCTGGAGTTTCTGCGGGGAGAAGGGGAGCCATGAGTGTGTCCCCCCCACACCAGGAAGACCTCCTGAAGGAATGCAGCACCCACCAGGTCAGGCTCGTGGGGCTTTGGTGGTGTTCAAAGGGCTGTTGGGCTGGAAAAGCCACGGCGTGGGTGCTGCCGGCAGCGTGGAGCACAGCTGGGATTGCTGCCGGGATCGCTGCTGAGGCCAGCACTGTGTTAAAAATAGAGCTGGGGAAGAGGGAAACCCTGGCTGTGAACAGCCCGGGGTGGGAGCTGGCTCAGCACAGCCTCGAGCAGCAACAGGGCAGGGCAGAGGGGTGTGCTCAAGTCACCTGCTCCAGCGCTTCCACTCGGCTCCTCAGGTCGTTCATTTCTTCCTTCACTTCATTGGAGGGACCTGAAAAAGTGACCAGGGGAAGGTCAGTCAGTAAAAGCCCATTGCCCAAGGTGAAGTGGAAGGTGTTAGGGAGAAAGACATCTCTGCAGGGCTCAGGCCAAGCTCTGCTGTTTTCCCCTGCCCTCTCACTGAGCCCCCAGGGTCTACCCTGCCAGAATCAGGCCCCAGAGCATCAGCTGGATTCAACATCTGCTGCAAGCACTGGCATCTAGTCCAGCTGCTAATGGCACAGGCTTCTCCTGCTGCTGGAGCACCTGCAACAGTGAGGGATTCTTCAGGTAATGGGGTGATGCTTGAAGGACAAGGTGTCTGGTGGAGCCTGGCCTTTGGCACCCATGTTGTCAGAGAGCACCCAAGGTGCCCTGTCCCACGGTGGGCACAAGGAGTCGATCCTGCTGAGGGACCAGGACAGGGACAAAGGCAGGCATGGCACATGCAGGCAGTGCCCTGCTCTCCCAGGTGTTTGCTGCGTGATGCCCGTGCTGGCCACAGCGCATTATTACTCACGGTACGAGTTTGAAGTGTCACAGCGCGTACCAAAAGTAATAATGGGCCGTCACCAGCGCCGCTCCTCGAGGCTCCGGACCTGCCCTGTGGGAACGATGATGGTGATGGAGAGAACAGGCACATCCTGGACACCACAAGCCACAGCCAGGCTGTGTCACTCTCACAGATGGATTTGTGCACAGGGGAAGTTGTTTGGGTGGGAGAGAGAATAAAGTCGAGGGGTTCTCTGGCTGTTGTCCCCTCTCCGGCCACAGCTGCTCCAGCCAGTGGTGCTGAGTGTTAACCCCAGCTCTCTGAAGGCCCAGAGCAGCTGGGGCTGCACTGGGGGGACAGGTTACCTGCTTGGCTGAAGGTGTCCATCTCGGGCACTGGCACCAGGGGCCGGCAGTCCTTGTCATCAGCAGCGAGGGCAAAGCCATCCTGGCACGTGCAGCGGTAGCTCCCAGCTGTGTTGACGCAGAGCTGGCTGCAGCCATGGCTCTGGCTGGCACATTCATCCACATCTGAAACACAGGAATGACTCAGTGAGGGCAGGAGGGATAGGGGTGAGTGGCACAAATGGCTTAGGCATGGGGGGCTGCAATGGAATTCCAGCAAGTGTCCCCGGAATGTGCTGGTGTTTGTGCTGGGCACAGCTCTGGGTGTCTCAGCACCACCAGCATCTGGGACAGCCCAGCTGGATAAACCTGTGCTAAGCCCAAGGGGGATCTGGCCTCCTCCCCTCTGCCCACTCCCCCCACAACAGAGCCAGAAGCAAAAGCTGTGGTCAGAAACGTCCCGGCTCTGGCCAGGCAGGCGCAGGCAGCGCCCGGCTCTCATCCTGGATTTACGGCCAGGGTTTTGGTTCCAGCCAGCTGTGGTGAGGAGCCATCAGCCTTTCAAGTGTGTACAAAACCCAGTAACCTCTCCTCACACGGGGGAGTTATTAGAGCTGTTCCCACAAAGCAGAATGAGCTGAACCGCTTCCCACGCCCGAGCACTGTTTTAGGCAGTGGGAAAATCTTTTCCTCCTGCGCTGGAGCCGGAGCTGTCACTGATGGGCTCAGCTCTGCCTAGCCCAGCATGGGTCAATGCCACACACTCCTCCTCTGCCTCACAGGAGGGTGGAAAGCTGGGAGAAGCTGGGAAACGCCATGGCAGGGGCTTTGCACCACTGGTGAGCTCCACCCTGCCCGATTTCCCTGTGCTGTGAGGAGCATCGGGCTGCTCCTGTGCTGGAGAGGAGCCTGGTGCCTGGAGACTGCCAGGCTTCCCTTCCACCCCTGGATATTTACAGATTTAGTCCCTGCAGTAAATGGGTGTCTTAGTTTACAGCAAGAGTTTACAAAGCCTGGGAGAGGGAGGATCACAAGCACACAACCTCGGGCCAGCCCCACAAGGTTTTTGTGCTGCAGAAAGGCTCTTGCTGGTGTGCTCACAGCTCTGCTCACTCTGACCAGAAGCAGAGAGAAAATGTGGGTGCCAGGGCTGCACATGAGGACTGGGAGCACTGAGGCAGCCAAAGGGAGCTCCCCTGGGAGCCAGGCTTCCCATCCTTTCCTGGTCAGACCATCAGGCATCAGTGCCATGGAGCGACACGTGCAGCTGTGCATGTGTGTGCACCAGGCATGTCCCGAGGTCTGGTAAGGAGCCACAGTGCTGGTCCCTGTCCCCACTAAGGGGTCGGTGCATGGTCAAAGGACAACCAAAGCCCCATGGCAGCAGCTCTGATGCTTCCCAAGACGAGCTCTTCCAGCAGCAGCACAGGGAGCAGGGAGAGGAGTGACATGGCCAGTACCTGTCTGGCAGGCTCGCCCCGTCCAGCCGGGTGGGCAGGCACATCTGCCAGGAAAGGTGCAGCTCCCACCGTTCTGGCACGGCACCCAGCAGAGAGCTGTGAGAGGAAACACCAGCACAGCGTCACCCGGCAGTTCTGGGGGTCCTGAGCTCCCCCCTCCCACCCTGGATGCAACACACACACTGCACACCCCAAAACACACACCAGCACCAGCCCAGGGGCAGCAAAGACAGGGAGGAGGGTGATGGACTGAGCGTGTCAGGGGATGGACTGACTGCTGCTGTGGTTTGCATTTGTGGCCTCCTGAAAGCATTTCTCTTCCATTACTGCTGATTTATGTGGAAAGGAATTACTCGCTTTATTTATCCTCTGTTAACTATAGAGGTAATGAGCGATCCCAAAGGAAAAAGGCCCAAGAGGCAGCAGAGAAAGGCTGGGAATTAATCAGATATTGAACTGCATTTGGTTGTGATGTTTAAAACTTAAATGCTTTCCTAGAGGGAGAATCCACCTGACAGGCAGAGTGTTGATGAATGAGAGAACTGGTCCTGGGCTTCCTCCAGGAACACGAGGGATCTGGGGATGAGCACTGGTCCAGCAACCTCTTACCTCTGTTACAGCTGAGCGTGTGAGTGTTCGCTCTGCTCCAGCCGGGACAGCACGAGGCCACGGGCTCGGGCAGCTGCCTGTACCTCTGCCGATAGGCAACTCTGTAGATGGTCCTGCAATGCAAGGATGGGGCTGAGCTGGCTTCCAGAGCACCTTCCCCAAGCCTCCATCCCATTCCCTGCACTGGCACCCACCACCAGGCACTGGGAGCATCGTCCCTTTGGATCGAGGCAGGACTGCCCCCTCCCACACTGGGAGCAGGTCTGTGGCCCAGGCAGTGCCCTCACCTGTAGGTGCTGCAGACACGGTGGCCCTGGCAGGTGGTGAGGTAGGGCTGGTAGACGGGCTGGACGTGGGACTCGGTGTAGGCGCCCGCCTGGCTCTGCGGCGCCGCAGCACAGACCCTGCGGCTGAGCAGAGGGGACAGGGTCACATCTCACCCGCCAGGACGGGGCCTGACAGCCCCTCTCTGCAGAGAGTGAGTGAAACAGCAGTGCCTAACTGCCCCAGTGCCCTGGGAGGCCACTTCAAGCTGTTTTGGGGCACTGGCCCAAATCTGGAGCACTTTGGGCTGTACAGGCACTTCCCCCCCTGCCCCTGTGCCAAGGCACTGATGCCTCCTTGAACGTTCACCCAGCACGGTCCCTCTGTCCCAGGGGAGCAGCCAGGACTCAGATTTAGGGATTATTTACTCATTCCATTCATCATCTCCCTTCCCCTAAAATTACTCACTTTCTGGGGGGATTTTTCCTTTCTGAGACTTTTGCATTCCTGAAACAGATGCCTCTGTGGTCACTAAGAAATTAATGACTTCACAGGCAGGGTCAGGCTCACCGCAAAAAAAAATAGAGGCTAGATGAAAGGGGCCCTCCAGCCTTCCTAAGATAACTGTTATCCAGCCAGAAACTTTCCCAAGGTTAACAGCCAAAGTGGTCTCAGTTAAATACCCTCTTTTTCAACATTTTTCAGCCCAAGCAGGTCAGTCCCACTGAGGAACTCATCCCCTCATCTCAGCCTCCCAGCTCAATTAGAAACTAAAATAAAAAGCCTGGGAATTAGCATGGACATCAGATGGCTTCCATTAACTCCAGAGAACTCCTCTCAGCCTCGTGATTAATGTTATAGAAAATGCAATTTTTAAATGGCAATTGTTTGCTTTGCAAAATTTAGAATAAAGCTCCGGTTGCAGCCTGTGCGTGAGAGTGAGGAATTCAGCTGTGGTTTCAGAATGTGAAAGGTTTGATGCTGGAGGAGCATTTCAGTGTAAAAACAAACTTTGTAGAAAATGTGAGCTGTATCTAGAGGTGGATGTTGAGCTCCAGCTCCTCTTGGTTGGGGAAGAATCTGGGGCACCGAGCTCTGGGCTTCCTCTGATGCAGTGGGAGCTGAGCTGTGCCTGCCCAGCCTGTACTGGGATCCCGAGTGCCAGGTCAGACCCTTTTCTTGGAAAGGGAAGGGAAATTGCTGGATTTGCAGGATCATGGACCACAGCACCATCCTGGGGAGCACAGGGCACAGCAGGCACCAGCCCACCAGGGCATTCCACACCCATGTCCCCTAGATGTTGTGTCCATCAGAGCTGGGAGCTGCATCCTCCTCTGATGGGAGCTGCATCCTCCTTTGACAACTTTTTCACAAGGCTCAGCTGCTGTGATTGATAGCAAGATTTCACAAATATTTTTGTGAAGGATGTGCTTGAAAGAGACAATAATAATAATAATTCCTGAACAGCTCAGGGCCTGATCACCTTTTGACTCTCACGGACAAAAAGCCCAGAGTGTCTTTGTGTCCCCGCCTGGAGCTAAACGGGCATTTTCTCTGAGAGGTTTTTTAGCTTCAGTGACAAAGCAAACAACCAGCAAAGGGCTGCCAGAGCCTTTTTCCACCTCCTGACCAGCCTGGGGAGCTGCCCATGTCCATGCTGGCCAAACAGGGCTCTTCACCTGGGGAGGACGTGCCTCACCATGACATGCACATGGGCAGGCCTGGGAGGTGCAGACAGAATGGGGCCTTACCCTCCCCGGGCAAAGCCATCGGTGCTGGTGGTGCTGAGGATGAGGAGGAGTCCCGAGAGGAGGCAGCTGAGGTGGCACATGTCCTGTCCCTCCCACAGCACCCCGGGCTGTGCAGCACGACCAGCTCTCGCTCTTCAGTGGGATGTGCTGCCTCCTACCACATGTCCTGTCCTTCAGCGTGGAGCCCTGCAAACAGGAGAAGAGCAGTGTGAACATGCATGTCCTTCCCCAGCTGGTGACATCTGACACACCCCTGGAAAGGGGGACACACCCCTGGAAAGGAGGGAGCTCCTCCAGGCACAAACCCACTTTTCCCCACTCATCTCAATATTGTGGTGGTGATTTACCCCAGGGGATGCCTGGAGAGGCTCTCACAGCACCAGGGTCCACTCAGTCACGTGTTGAGAGACAGGGAAGGGACCTGTGTCACCCGAAACACTCTGCTAATTCTAGGCAGTGAGGGCAAAACAATGGCCCCTAATTTCTTAATCCACACAGCATTGTAAAGCTGTGTTTTCCCACCACATAACACACTGAAATCTGATCTTCTTCCCTTTAAAATACAAGTTCGTGCCAGAGAAAAGTGCTGCAAGGGCCATATGTACCGTCTGCAGAGTCAGATCTGAGCCACAAATAAAGAGCTTTTGATTTGCTAGCCGAGGACAAACATGAAACAAGGCAGAAGAAGGTCAGTAACAATATCTAATTTAAACAGTATTGCATTTAAACAAACCAGTTGGCCTCCGGATGGCAGCAGCTGAAGGAGGAAGAAATAAAGAAACCCACCTTAAACATACACCAATTAAAGAAAGAATCTGTTGTTCTGATTAAACCTTGAGAAAAGGGAGGCAACACAAGAAAACTCCTTCTGAGACTGGAAATATGGTGACTGCAAACCAACTTGCTAAAATCCCCAAGTGCTCTGGGGTGGGATTGGACTAGAAAGTTGCAGGTGGATCCCCAATCTCCATTAGGATTAATTCCTAACTCTGAGACAACTTGTTAGGGATAGCCACCATATATCTGTAGAGCCTGCAGGTCTCAAATCCCTCCTCCAAGGCACTCAGGATCATCCTTTCCTTTGTGCAGGTAGAGAAACTTAACCATGGAAAGATGGAGACTCACAACTGCAGAGAAACCAGCCTGGTGCCTTCCTGTTCCTTAATATCAAACATCAACTATCAAATGTCAAATATCACAGCATATTTCCATGCAAGCCCAGTTTTGAGGATGTAAGGAGGATTTTGGTGCTATAGAGCCTATAGTCCTCCATTCTCCTCCAAACATAGCAAAAAACTTCATCTCCTAATGACTGATTTATGGCATCTCCACCACCAGGAAAGCAAACCTTGCTTGACCCGCAGGAAGGTTTTTTAAAAGTAGTGAAGAAGCTTTCTTTTTCCCCAGTTCTCCTGGAGACATCCCAAGGACACTGGTGTACAGACACACTAACTCCCCCCTGCTCCGCCAGCCAGCTTTTCCCAGGGCTATACTGGGACACATATTTTCCCTACAATCCCAGATCCCCAGGCCAGCAGTGCTTCTTCTGAAGTCTCTAAGTCAAACTCTGCCAACCATCTCCGTCCTCCCACAGGATTCCCGTGGCTGCCATTGGAGCTTTCCCTGTGGGGACAGCAAGAAACGCAGGGCACGAGCCTAAAATACAGACGGTTTGTTTTTCCACTTTGAAATGGAGCAGCACTGCCCTACCTCGAGTGTTCAGAGGATCCCTCTGGGTCATAAAACTATGGTTGCTTCATACAAGAAAAAGTTGCAAAAGTGTAAAACATGATAGTCTATACTTGTCTTTTTTATAATTTTATGAAAATCAGCCTCTTTATAGCCACTGAAGATCTTCCAACCTGTTGCCACCACCTATTCTAATATTGCTCTTTTAACACATATAACCCAAGAAACATCTTTTTATGATTAAAAAAAAAAAAAAGAAATAGTTTTTGGTCACTGCCTTTGTAGTCCCTCAAATGAAGAGGTCTGGCAAGTGAAACTATGCGGGTGCCTCTAAGTTTCTGCTGTTTCAGGAGTCAGCAAAGCCTCCTTGGCTGGCCACGTGCTCCTGTGAGTCTGGGGATCCTTCTCCTGCCAGCCAGAAACATTCCTATAGCTCTCCTAAGTCTGCTCTTGCCTCACCTGCCACAGCCACCAATGGCAAACACAACCCACCGCACAGGTGAGCAGCACTTTGTGCAGCTCTGCCCATGGAACCAAGACTAAAGATCCAGCTGATGGCAGCAGGAGGAATCGAGCTCTGTCTGCAAAGGGATACGAGACAATCCAGCCCCTCGGGAGGATGCAATAAACCTCACAGGCTGCACTTTTCCCAACAGCCTGGCCTGGTTCTGCAGGTGAAACCGTGGCTCCAAGCCGTGCTCTGGCCCTGGCCTATGCCCTTAAAGCCAAACCCTCCTGGAGAGGGTCTGCACCAGCCGCAGGGGGATGGATTGTTCCTTACAGACACCTCCAGCTGTTCCCTGCGCAGGCTGGGATGCGGCACCGCGGGGCACGGCAGGCGGTGCGGGCGGGATGGAGCGGGACGCGGGGATGCGGGCACTGTGGAGCGGGGAGAAGGGAGGGGGAACGGCGGAGGGGGCTCCGGGGGTACGGCACGGTGCGGCGGCACACGGGGACACGGGAACCGGCGTGGGGCTCAAGGGAACACGTTATCACGCAGTCGAGCATGCGGGACGAGAATACGGAAGCCGGGCCTGCGGGGAACCCCGGAAAGGCCCGCGGGGGCGCGGGGACGCGGTGTCCCGAGCGATCCTTGCACGGCTCCGGCGTCCCGGGGCCTGAAAGGAACTGGCAGTGACGCGAGTAATCCCCCGGTGTCAACAGCGTGGTAAAAGGGACGCGTGAAGTGTCCGGGGACTGCAAGAACTGTAAGGGACAGCGGGTACGCCCGGGGGAGGCTGCCGGGACCGCGGCCGCAAGGGATGCTCATTCGGGCCGCAGCAAAGCCCATGCCCCGCTCCCCGGCACTGCCCAGCAGCCCCGCAAGCCCCTCGCCCGGCACCAAGGGCCCCCCGGCCTCCCTCCCAGCGTCTGCGGATACCGAGCCCCAGCTCACGACGACCACCCCCCCGCCCGCTCCCGCCGGGGGAATGCCGGCGCGGCCCCCCGGCCGTGCCGAAGCGCCGGGTGACGGTGCCACAGCCGGGACTCAACCGTGCAGGTGCCGGCAGCCGCGGAGTCTCCCTCGCCCGCGCCCGCGGCCCCCGCGCATTTCCCTCTCACTCCGGCCCGGAGCCGGTCCCTCCGCCCCGGCCCAAGTGAGCTCCCGTGGGGGGGAGGAAAGGCGGAGCCTCCCGGCCGGGGGAAGCGCCGGGGCCCCGGGGACCTCCGCCTGCCCACCGCCCCGCCGGCCCCCGCCAGGCGCCCACCTGCCCCCCGGCGCCCCGGGAACATTGGGGACACGGAGCAACATGAACCGCCGGAGAACCTCAAGTTCTTGCGGGGGGGGGAGTCATGCGGATAGCGGCAGGACTCCCCCCAGGAGCCCAAGCACTGGGGTGGGGGGACACGCTGGTGGTGCGCCCCGTGAGTTTTCGCTGCCTCTGATGGAGACGGGATTGCAGGAAACCCCTGCCCTGGCTTGATCTGGAGCCTTACCTGGTGACCCCACGTCAGGCTGAGCCCCTCAGCCCCGGCGTGCCCCACACTGCGAGGACACGAGGTCCCTGAACCCCCCTATGGCCCAGCTCGCCTGGGTGGGCAGGGGATTATAGCAAGAGGGGGAGATCCCAGCGCAGCCCCCGGCCCCTCGCCCAGGGGTGTTCAGACTCCCCGGGGAAATGGTCCATCGCCAGTGCAGTGCCCAGGGCAAATTTATTTCTCTTTGCTAAAAAATATTGTGGCTGGTTCCGCACTCCCCACGAGCACATATAATTTTAAGAGGAGACGTGTTTCCCTAGGTTAGAGACCTGGTCCACAGCCTCCCGCCGTGCCCCGTTAATCCCCCTGAGCTCATTACAACAGCGAAGTCCTGCAGAAGCCGGCAATAAATTGCCAGGACAGGGAGGCTGGTTTTCAGCGAGCCCTAAAGGATGATTACAGGATTCCTTGGAGGGCCCCCCAGCTGTGGAGCCATGTGAGGATCGACCCCGAGAGACTCCCAAGGGTGACACACTGGGCTCAGCTCCGGCTGGGCAACACCTGCCCCGGGACAGCTCAGGCAGCCCATCCCAGCTGCCTACAGGCTGCTCCTCTTAAAATGCCCAGTTATTTATCAAAGCAGTTCGGTTTGTGCCAAATTGCCACTTGTTTTGTCTACATTTTTGTCTGGAAAATTAGAGCACAGAGGCTTATTGTTTTTCAAATGACTTAGGCGCCTGCCCATGCACAGAGCCATTCTTGAAGATAGCGGGGATCTGATGTGCGAATGAATGGCAGGATACAGCCCCCTGGGAATATTTGTTCCCATTAAGTTTTGTAATTTTTTCGAAAGCATGTAAGCATTTAAAGGAAATATTTACCAGCTAAACAACAATGGCGCCAAAAGAGCAACTGAGATCACTGGCCCATCCCCTCCATTTCCTCAGGGATACGCTGAGGCCGCTGATGGAACTGGAGCTGTCTCGGGTCGTGCTGCACCCCCCCGGGAAGCTGATGGGTGCTGGTGTTCTGGAGTGGGGCTCCCCGTGTGAAAGGAGTTTTGGTGGGATTCTCCCTGAGGAAGGGAACAGAGGGGAATCCGCTCTGGGATGTGCTGGGATCCCTCCCAGCAGCAAAGGAAAGGCTTGCTGGTGCTGGTGGAAGCACAGCTCCACATTACACAGCATCTCGTACAGCACAGGCGGGGTTGCTCACCCTGTGGATCCATCCTACCTCCCGGGAATGATTTCAGCTCATTTAATCTCCTAAACACGAAGCAACTTTTCCCAAGAGCCTTGAAGGGACAGTAATTATCTTGTTATGCCGAGAGTGTTACTGTTTTTTCTGGTGTACGGGGGAGATGAACAGAGCTTGAATTATTGCCTAATAATTGCAAAATGCGTTTGGAAGCCAAGGGAAAGCTTCTCCATCCGGCCATGCTGAAAGCACAGGATCTCATTTTGCAGCCAAGGCACTCACCTTGTCCACGGTGCTCCATCATGTGTCCTGGGCAGGGATCCTTTCCTTAAGGAGCATCTTGATTTCTTACTGTCAGGACAGAAAAAGCCCACTGTTACACTCCCCTTGTCAGGAAGGCAGAGAGCAGTGACCCAGCCCTTGCCCATGATGGACCTGGTGTGGGATGCCCTGGACACTCCCAAAGGTGTGGAGCTGTGGAGGATGAAACATTTGTGGAGTGGGGTGGAGGATGGAAGCAGGATCGTGACTCCCTGTGGCACTGGCACTGAGCTCACACCACTGGTGTGCCAGAGGCACAGACACTGTGGTAGGGCACAGGGAGGCCCTAACTGCTTGGGAAACCTTTGCCTGAGTCCCTGGGATACCAAGCGTAAATTTGATGGTGAGGAAGAGGATGGACTCATCCTTCAGCTCTCTGCAGGACACCACCCAGCCCAGGACCAAGCACACCACTTTCCAGGGTCCCTGGTGGAGCCTTCTCAGCCATTAGGCAATTATTCCCTAAGTGCACTGAGCACTTTAAAATTCTGCCAGTATTTTAATTGCAAAATGTTTGCTTCGCAGTTCCATTTATTGGGTCAAATCTTTGCTCAAGCAAGTGCCCATGTCAGCTGCTAAAGAACTGCTTATAGCCCATTAAAAGAGCATTTAATCCTCTGCTCTTGGGGAGGGTTCGGTGTCTTATGTGCTAATATTCATTATGCTGGGAGGAAATCCCCCAGGACACTGCCTGGCAAAGTTCCCTTGGAAGCAGGAGTTATGCCAGTTCAGAGTGGGGGAAGATCAGATCTGTTGGCACTGTTAAGGTCGGTGTAATGAGCTTCTGACAAAGGCATCAAGGGATTTTGGCTCCTGCCTGCAAGGCTGTCTGAATTTGAAGTCCTCCCTTGACCAATGTTTTACATTTTTCCCCCACAGCTTTCTCCCTCACACACTAGAAGTGTACTCCCATGACATCTAATATTAATGCCTGTCTCCAGGCCAAGAAAGAAATGTTTCTGCCCAACCTCCCTCTTAGATTTAACAGTGTCAAAACCTCCTTGTCTCCCACTGGTTTTACCACCAGCGTGAGCTGTGAAGGACACCGAGTACTGGCCTGCAGGTCTCAGGCTGTGCCCTGGGCTGGCTGTAAAAGTCAGATTTTCACCCACCCCCCTGTTTCCTAGAGCCTGTCCCACAGACCTGCCAAGCCCAGTGCACCTGCCTGGGCATCCAACATCCCCCTGAGAGCATCTGTGGTGGATCGAGGCATGGAGCTGTGGGCTGGAAGTGGTCCCCTGTGTGACAGGAAAGCTTGGAGGGTGTGAGGTATCTGGGGATGGGGGGACTTAACTTTGCTCTCGCTCTGTAGGCACAAAAAAGGAATGATAACAGAGGAGAATTAATAGGAGGTCAGCACTAAAGTCCCACATCAGAGAGGAGCACTTCCATCCCATCACAGAAAACGGGACGTGCCCAGGCACACGAGTGCTGCCCCAAACTGGGGCCAGAGGTGCTGAAATGGCAGATGGATGGGGGGACAGGCAGGAGAGTGACACACATACAGATGCAAAACCTTTCAGCTGCTACAAGCCCTGGCTGACCCCGTACCTGCTGTGGACAATGGGCTCTCACTGGCCTCTGCGGGGGTCTGGCACAGAACTGGAAGCACTTGCTAAAGCAATAGGAATTTTTGGTGCTTCTCAAAAAAAGGGGGGAATGGCTTTTCCTGTTCTAGGACAAATTCTTCTGCTCAGGTTTTTCATAAGGCTGTTTGTAAACTTTACACTTGAGTTGAGGCTTTGGAGCAGCCCCTGCTCTGCAGAGCTCTGTGAGGAAAACGACCTCCCACTATTCTATTATGTCCTATATTGTTCTCAGCTGCGTCAGCTGCAGACCAGTTATCTCAGTGGAAATCTAGATGAGTCCACTGATGGCAGTGGGATAAAAACAGGTCAAACCAAGAAAGGTACTTGGCCTGTAGCTCTCAGTCTGTTGTCACCAGTTGCCCAGGGCTCTGTGTATTATAACCGAGACTGGAGCCCCACAAAGTGGTATTTTTTTTGCCTGAGTAAGGACTTAACAAGCATTAAGTGTCTCAGGACAGGTGTGTTATAACTTAAGGTGACCATGGGGACAATCAGCAGCCGAGCTGCAGCTGTGCAAAAACAAATGCAAGAACAGGGCAACATCCCATAGCTAGGTTTATTTTCCTTTGCATGCACACTTGAGCTCTTATTTACATTTAGAGAAGGCAGCAGTGGCTGCAGTGTAAAAACTGGGAAATGATTCATCCCACCCAGGAATAAACTGAATTTTGCAGCTTTCTGTGAAATTTCCCTGGCAAAACACAGCATTAGTCAGCAGGGAATGGTCCCCCACCCCACTTCCCCAGTGAATCACTCCAGAGGGGAGCATGGGAAGTGCAGTGGGATAGCTGGGAGATGCAGGACAGCTTGGTCCCTGAACCGTGACCATCCTAGGGAGCAGCTCAGCAAAGAGCATTTCCCACAAGAAATGCTCTGATTTTTGCTCTGATTATCCTTCTCTTCCAGGAGAAAATCTCCCGCTCCAGGAACCTGTACTAAGCAGAGCTCCTCTCTGCCCTCACCTCCCAGGCTGTGAGCAGGACGGGGATCCAAGAGCTCCCTTCGGGAGAGAGGACAGAGCAAAAGAAAACATTTCTGATCACCCCCTTCTCTTTGCAGAGATGCTTTTCTTTCCCTGTCTGGTCTGAGACCTCTCCCCTGGTGTTTTGCCATGCCCCCCCTGCTGCTGGTGGGGCTATGAGGCAGGTTGGTTTACCCTAATTTGTTGCAGTTTGTAAATCTGCCTCCCCCGGGCCAGCCCCATCTGCAGCAGCAGAGCCTGGGAAATGCCTCAAATGAGCCTCCAGACCAGATTCATTTTCTCTTTCTTACCTCCAGGGAAACTTGTGAGAGATGGTAGTGGAACAGCAGAGAGGGGGGAGTAACTCCATCGGCAGATCACAGGGAAGAATACTGAGACTCTGCCAGGACAGACTCCATGTTTTCCACTCCTGCCCAGAGGTGGATTATTTTTGAGGATGCTCAGGATCCAGCCACCACATTTGGACTTCTGCCTCGCACAGCTTCCCAATCCAGTCTTAAATTGATTTCATCACTGACAAAGCCTTGTTGTTTCTTCTTATTTTTTATTCTCTGCTCAGTGAATTGATTCCACGAATGTTAGACCCTTGGAAAAAGTATGCTGGGTTATTTCTACTGAGAGCATTCACTGGTGTGGTATCTCAGCTGCTCTTTTATCCCAAAATACAGGCAGGTAGCTGAAAACAGACAGCATGAAAATGAGCCGGCTCCATGGCTGTAAATTTGGGAGGCTTTGCTGAGCTCCAGGCATGCACACCCGGCACACTCCAGGCTCGGCTGTTAGGCAGGACAAAGCCTTGGTGTGACAGGCAGGAGAATCCCTGCCCACATCCCTGTCCTGCCCCTCATCCTGCCTGGATCTGGGGCTGAATTTGGCAGCACAGAGAGGAGACCAGCAGGCAGGGAACACAGGCAGAAGGATGGACAGTGCGGTGGTGTATCAGTGGTCAGAGAGCAGGCAAAGGAAGAAGGGAAAGAGTAACAGAAAGTGAAGAGATTTGCTAAGAATTTGCAGCCATCTCACAGGAATTTGTGCAACTGTTTGCAGCCTCTACACGCACAGGAGGTAAAATTTACCCATGGAGTTCTCTGCTCCTGGAAAACATCCTGAGTGCCAGTGGGGTGAATTAAAAATAACGGTGCTGGAGGCTGAGCTCCACTCTGAGCAAAGCAGACAGCCTCACCAGGAGCTCAGATGGAGGATGCTCTCCACACCTTTCTGCTTTAAAGGACGCTTTACACACCCTTGTGCTTTGAAGGATGCTTTACACACCCATCTGCTCCAAAAGATCCTTTACGCCCTTGTTTGCTCCACGCTCCTACCATCATCTCTGCCTGAGCAGGGGCAAAACCACCCAGAGCCCGCAGGGTCTCACCTGGCAAGGACAC